CTGGTATGGTCACAGTCTCCTTTCAATTTATAGAAGTGGGTTGACCTCGTTGTCGCAACTTGGTCTTTTTGTCAGGGCCTAATCCGAAGTCGTCTGCCATGGTAGTTGTCATGATCCCCACCATCAGACAGTGGACTTGGTACATTCTCAAAAGTTTCACCGGCATCGTAGTCGGCATCATCAGTGAGCTTTGCCATTCTCCTAACAAAGCTAAAAACTTGTCAAAGAGACAAGTGTAGTCAATCCCTCGACAAACGTTCTGCCGAAAACGATTACACCTGTGGTTCCCAAACTTTTCCTAGTCGCGGCGCCCTTTTTCTATTAAAATTTTTTCATGGAACCCTACCTTAAGTATGACTATTCGTAAGTTAGTAATAAAAATAAATGAAACGCGTGTATCTTCATTATTTTTTCTACTTTATTAACATTAAATTAATATTTAATAATTAATGTGATGGATGAGCCGGCAAATCATGCACATTTTCTCAAATCGTAGAATTAAACTGGACACAGCCACCCTCATTTCCTTTTCCACAATGATTTTTGCTCTATACTTGCTTTTTATTACAGCGACCGCCAAAAACCCACATTCGAACTAATACGACGTCGAAAATGGAATTAGAAACCAAACTTTAAATAACTGTCATCATATTTACGATATTTTCGTTTCTTCACACTAATGCCACTGGTTAAAGGCGTACTTTCTTTATCTGCACTATTACGTTTACAACTGTTCAAAAATCGGTCAATTATCAAAGATACAAGAGCCAAAAATCACAAACTTATTTATCCAAAAACAACAAGCAAGAAGTAATATAGCACTAACTAAATTACAATATGAACTCATTTACTAATTTATGTCACCGTTTATTTATATAGGAAGCGCTGAGTTTAACTTCACTAGACTCAAATTATAAGTCAACTGACTAAATCGAGCCGGCAACGCTTGCTTATATACTTTCCGCAAGATCTTCCACAACATTCCAAATCTGTCACGAAGGTTCTACGCACCTCGACGTGTATAGTGCGATCGTATGGCGCGATCGAGAAGGCGCGGCGTTTTCTTACGTTGTTGTTTAGTTAGGCCAAATGTCTGGGTTAAATTAATTATGAAGCTTTTACAATATTTCGCGGCGCCCCTGTAAAGAGGCCGCTGCTCCCCGGAGCGCTGCGGCACACAGTTTGGGAATCACTGGGTTACACTGACAATCCTCTTTCTGCCCTGGCATATCTATCTACTCTTTAACCTCATCCCAATGCCGCCCTATCATAACTTCTCACTTGTTTACATTCCACTCGTCAAAATGTGTGCCCTTTTGTGACAAATCTAATGTGACCTCATCACACTTGATATTCACCCGACTCCCTCTCTATAGATCGGCTGATTTGACTCGGGCCTACAATCCGGATCCCCTCATTCTCTCGTAGATCCGTTCCTTATCTTTCTGGTTGACTGATTTCACTCGGTTTCAGTCCCTGTGTGCATTTCACTCCAGGCGCTATTTCGCAAGGCCTTAAAAGCAAGTACACTGCCGTTTCATGGAGCAGAGTTCCTAAGCTCTGATTCCCATGCTTGCAGATATCAGGCCACTACCTTCACGGGTCCTCTCCTTGATTAAACCCATGTTATTTAAAAAAACTGTGGACGCCTATCTCTGGTCTTATGCGGCATCTCTGCTAGTACATTTAGGCCATAACGCCGAAATTCCGTGACGGTTTGCTTATCCGTCTGCCCAGCTCCCTGACTACCAGGCCCCCAAAGTTTTATTGGTTTATTCGAAATGGACATCACTCACTGACAACGTCTTCGCTTTATTACCGAAAACCCCTGACTCCCACTTTCTTTATCGCGATCCCTTCAATAATCTGGCTTACAAACTTTTGGACAAATTGACGTGGATATTCCTCGACAATGACTATCCAATCAAAGTGATAAAAAGGAACATACGGACCGTGAAAAGCCGATGGCAGAACAGGGACTATGAAAGAACAGTAAGGACGATAAAGGACTCACCAAAGTGGATGTGCCTACCTAAGAAACTACGGCCAATCCTAAGTAAATGGAATATTCAGGTGGCCATGTAAGAGAAATCAACAAGTCTACCGACGCAACATGAAAAGGTAGATACATTGGATTGTTCAGGAATTTACTGTATATTATACGGTGCCTGCGAACAGAAATATATTGGTGAAAAAGGGAGAAAGATTAGCATACGAATCAAGGAACATCAAAATGAATACCGAAAGATCAGAACTAACGAAACACATCGCACAGACTGGGTACGAGATCAATTGGAAGGTAACAGAAAGAAGGGCCTCATACGGTGACAACATAAGGAAGCGGAGGATCAGTGAGGCCATTGACATCCTTGTGGAGAAAAATCGAATAAACAGGAGCTTGGAGGAAGGTAGAGTTAGCGATAACTTTGCCTTCTGCTAAGCAAACTCGAGGAAAACATGAATAGAGCAAGACAAGCAAAAAGGAGGCGCCTGCATCAAGGATCTACCGCTAACCGAAGGAAAAGGGATCGTGATGAAGAAAGGGAGGGCAGAGTTTTCGGCAATAAAGCGAAGACGTTGCCAGTGAGTGATGTCTATTTCGAATTAACCAGTACAACTTTGGGGTCCTGGCAGTCAGGGAGCCCGTGGTGAGGCCATATTAGATTTGCCACAAAAGGCCACACATTTTGACGAGTGGAATGTAAACAAATCAGAAATTGTGATAGGGTGGCAGTGGGTTAAGAGGGTAAATAGTAGATAGATATGCCAGGACAGAAAGAGGAGTGATATTTTTACCGTTTTCGGCAGAACGTTTGTCGAGGGATTGACTTAACTTGTTTCTTTGAGGAGTTCATAGCTTGGTGTAGCGAATGGCAAAACTTACTGATGATGCCGACTACGATGCCGGAGAAACGTTTTAGAATGTACCAAGTCCACTGTCTGATGCTGGGAATCATGAAAACTAATATCGCAGACGACTTCGGACTAGGTGCGTTCTACTAAGTCCCTCTGACAACACCAATTGCGACAACGAGGTCAACCCACTTCTGTAAATATTATCTACAGAGAATATGAGTTAAACATTATTAGATAAAGGGGCATTTGGCTTGATAATTTACCATACTTATGCCGATAACAGCAATGCTATGCGCTTTGATATTTGCCTCTAATTATGAATAGGGCGATGATTCTGTAGAGTCGGCCCTGTGCTATCAAATAATCTCCCAATTCGATCAAAGATTGCTCAAATTTCGAGTAAAGGAATGGCTGGATATATATATATATATATATATATATATGAGTCAATTAGCGATTACGTTCACTATAACTTTATCTGGCATGCGGTAAAAACATGCTTAAAAAACGGATCTTCATTTTACCAGGATCAGCCCAAATGTGTATGATGTATTTCAAGTTTTTGCTGTGACAGTTCTTTTACAACTTTGCTTGATTCCCATCGATGCATTTTATCTTCCTCTTTTATTATACTAATGACAAAAATGCATTAATATTTCTTGATATGAATGCAGATTTGTGGTGACAACGGCGTCCCTCCTTCTCCATATGCCTCTTCTATTATCTGTCCCTCTACTTGCGGTGGTGTGAGTTGTGAGCCCATCACGCAATTCCTATTCCCAAGTAATTACTCGGGCACTGAGAAGATAGACTATGGTTCTGGCTCCTCCAGTCTGGCCAAACAGTCGCGACAAATGACGACAAGCGTTTACGGAAGGGAAATAGGCAAGGTTGAAGTGGATACTTCAACAATGTGTGAGTATTTTTGGAGTTAAACTTTCTAATGCTTTATTTTTAGATAGGATACATATGTCAGAGTAAAAAATACGATTTTATATGACCTTAGTCCACTGAGATAAGATGCATTAAATTATACTCTGCTATATTATATATTATAATTATACTCTTATAATAAAAAACTTAAACCCACAGGCTATCACATAATTGTATTTCAAAATTCTTGAATTTACAACTTAATAATAATTAGTGAAACCTGAACATATGTGAACATATTTCACTCCTCTCAGAGATGTTTCTAGATACAACGATAGTTCCATAATTGTTTCAAATTTCATCTGCATAAAAATAAAGGAAATAATTTAGGTAAATATTTCTATTTATATAAAATATGGTTAAATATGGTAAAAAGTAAAACATGGATACACAAAGATCAGAAATAGGGAAATATGTTGCACGGACAGGGCATGAGATTGACTGGAAATCGACGGATAGGTTGGCTGGATATGGTGAAAACACGAGAAAACGCAAGATCCGAGAGGCCATTGATATATTGACTGAGATGAATCTAATGAACAGAAGACTTGAAGAAGGCAGTATCAGCGAAAACTTTGCATATTGCCTAAACAAACTAGAAGACCAGGCAACGGGAAGATCAGCAAAAAGAAGGCGACTAGAAAAGGTGATATCCTTAATTTTAGGAAAAACTACTTCTTCAACAACAAAACAAGTGTAGACGTTTAGTGTGGACTAAACAATACCGAAGCTTCAGGTTGGCTGGTAGGCCTAGTGTTACTTCTCTGTTGTCAATGTGTATTTTATTATGTGCAAGTCCACAACCCTAGAATAGGCGGAACAGCCCCACACCTGAATATTCCCATCACTATATTCAATTGTTGGTTTAATGCATTGTTGTCTAAGCCTTTCATGCAGCCATATTGCCACCTAAACTCTCAGATTGCAACTCTGGAATTTTGGGTTTGATTCTTCTTTGAGCAAGCCTTCCTTCCAGGCTTCCACTTTGATAATTCAAGATTTGTAACCTGCGCTAAATGTTTGCATCTGTTTTATTGTCAGATGAGTTGTTTGGAAACTGCTACTATTCCATGAAGACCGCAGTTTGCTAGTTGCCTTTTGACTGTACTTCCATTAACTAAGATATCGCGACTTTAAATTCAAATTTTTAGCAGTGTGTCAGCTTATATGTTTGTATTAATGTTTGAAACTATATTGCTCAACTATAATGTTAAAAATAATTTATCCTTGATCTAAAGATATTGTAAAACATTTGTATTCTTATACTTTCCCTTCCTTATTGAGTTCCTGGATAAATCTGTTATGTTCATTTTTGATAGGATCAGCTGAGATGACGGCAACCTTTGATCACTTCTTGCATGTATGCTTTGTCAAAATGGATTCGTACTCATCTATAGCTAGCAAAATAAATTAGTCTAATATTCTGCATGCTATCGAGGGATTTGCCTTGCCTCTTTATCCTGAGACTTTCTGGAATATTCAAGAATATTTTTTTGGATTTTAGTTTTCTCCATTATCACCTGTCTGAGAAGTTAGCGTGATCTTACAGATTGTCAAGTCAATGCTTACAATTTTAAAATTTTGCCAGAATCCAGACCATATTCAGCCCATTATAAGAATGTGCTTACTCTGATATTATTAGGGGGACCTTTATTTTGAATGAAAGTGCATGAAGAAGAGATTCGTTGGCCGATCTCACCAGATGAGGATGGATGAAACTCGTTGTACTGCAGCCTTTTGGCTTTTATACGATATTCATGTTGGCGCAGTCCACGAGACTTCCTACCTCGTTTCGGGTAAAAACGTGCTGAGCTTTCGTCCATCATATGATGGA